TTTTTCCATCAGTATAAATTTGCTTGTACATGTTTTCATTTCTGTATGTACAGCAGCTGAGACAGTGACAGATAATACAGAAGACTGAACAAGTGGTACTTTTAATCTCTACAGGCTAATATGCTAATGATAATATGTACATCTAAAATAAAGGGAGGATTAGCATTCACATTGACTAGCAAATCTCATCATAAACTTGGAAATCGTGAGTAACGAAAAAAACTGGACCAAAAAAAACACTTTTTAAAAATTGTGAGAATCTGTGAACTTTGTGGACTTCAAACCATGCTGAAATGTTATGAAATTTAAAGATTTTGAAGGTTGTGGTTCACCAAATGGATAGTACAGTTCACCTAAAGAGACGTTATATTCTTAATTCGGAAGTTCAGTTCCTGCTAAAATAAAAGCCAGTAATTATTGTTGATGGTAAAGAATGTGTTTGAGATAGTTCTTTTAGCAGCGCCTAAGTAGCAATGCAAATGGCAATAGAACAAAACAAAAATTAAATGATAAAAAGCCAAAAATGCAGAAGTAGTATGCTTCTTTAGGTGATTTGAACTCTAACGGATTACTACGTACAGACCGAGACCGATTAAAAAGCGATAAAAAGGCAATGCATTATGTTGCTTTGCCTGCGGTCATTGGGGTGGAGTCAATACAGATGCAACAGTGATGGTCAGTGAGATCCAAAGTCCATCTGATTTTCCCCAATGTCTTTAATTAAAACTTTGGTTTTTAAAGTGCTTGGAAAGAAAGCAGCTAACTGATTAAGTAAATGGTGAGGTGTGAAGTTGGCCCTCGCTGGCTTGTTTGATGAGCATGATCTGTTCGGTAAGATGTGAATGATTCCTGTTTGTCTGGTCCTCACGTGTCACAGGGGATTCTGGATTACAGCTCTGCATTCTTGGTTTCTTAAATGGACCAATAACATGATCAGCTGGCTTGCTTTCAGATCCTAGATAGTTAAAATAACAGGAATACCCTGCAGCACTGTAGATCTACAGCACTAGAGGTGGACACTATAGATGATAGTGGAGATAATTATAATTCAATAATGACAGATCAATTCTTCTGAGAGTAAGAACACTGGTTCATTAGCGAGTTTTGATATATGCTGTCTGTGACGATTTAGAATGCTATTAGTGTGTCGGACCAAATTATATAGGTAATAACAGTCATGATGCAGAGGTTATTAGCATTCAAGTTCAAATCTCAGAATAGCAACAAAACTGCTATGAAGTTGAAAACATTTGAGACAACAGTCATTAAGAAAATCACATGCCAGACTTCTAATTTATCTGTTTAATTAATTCTGATTTTTCATTTGGATTCAAATCAGCTTTACTATCAATCTGCAAAATGTTACTGGTTTGTCCTGGATAACAACAGAGAACTATTCTTGCTTAAGAAATATAATATAAAATTAAAAAAAGATCTCTTAATTAAAAATCCTGAGTGGCAATTTACAGTATTATCAGACAATTACTAAACATTAGATTTCCTAGCATTTTAATTATTAAACTACTATGGCAAAATATGTCAGACTTATGATTACAATAATTTTAGGCTTAAAAACACCAAAGAGTTCCAATTTTTCCATGTCAAACCAATCTGACTTGCAAAAGGCAGAATTATCACACAGACATTACTTACCGGGAGGCTTAGTTTGATGGCATCCACTGGCTGATAAAAAGGCCAGGCGAACTGATGCTTCCAAAGGGTCTTCACCACCACGTTCTGCATGTACTGCAGCTGATTGGTCTTTCTGCCTGGCTTGTTGGGGTTGGTGACCTCGGGCGGTGGGGGGTTGACACCAGGCTGCGGAGCCTGTATGGCCGAGGTGACTGCTGACATCCTTTCGGGATTGCTGTCACTCTCTTTGTCTGTGACTTCCCCTGTCTTCAATGGGTTCTGTATTCCTCTTTGTGCTCTTTACTCCCCAAAGGGGACCCGCATCCCATCTCAGAGCCAGACCTTGTGACCTCTGCAAGAGAAACAGTTGGTAGGACACCTTAATCAATCAAAAGAATACAAGAGCGGGCACGAGTGAAGTTCAGCCGCGACCATGGAAAACTGAAATCTGTCTCTTCCCATGATGACCTGCCAATGTTCACTAATCACAAGAAAACTGACCACACAGAAAATTTCAAAAATTATGTACTTCATGTAATTTTTACAATTGTGTTAAACGCCTCAGAGCAACAAATATTTTTCCTAAGGCTCGTAATATTTTTTCTAAATGTTCTTTTGAAACTCCATACTCAATCAGTGGTCAAATTTTTAAATTCATAAATGTATGCATTATTGCACATTTGCCAGTTATCTCATTTTCCAGCAATTATGTTTGAGAATTGTTAGCTAACAAACTCAAGCCAAGCATGGCAACTGACAAGTGTGTTAAATATGGCCAAATATTTACAGGAGAATAATGAATACAAACAAGGGTAGCCTTTATATAAATAACAAGAAATCAGACATTCCAAGCTTTTCCTAAACTTTTTAAGAGATAAAAATGCAAGTTAGAGGATGAAATCAGCTGTTTCCCTTTTCAAGATCTTCCCAGTCATAAACGCATAAAAGAAGATAAAAAATGCCCACTGGAGAAAGTAGCTGCACCTCAGAAGGGGGTGAAGGGGGTCTCTTTAATCGATAGTTTCCAATTTTTAGAATGAGCTCCTCATAAAGCGAAGAAAATTGACAAACTACCATCTTACACCTAGGCCAGAGAAAATACCTTTCATACAATTCTGTAGGTGATGCTGCCAGCACAAGAGAAAGTGTGTTTTATATTTGTTTTCCCTTGGGTAAGAGGAGCTCTAGAATGTTCTCATAGAAACAGCCTCTCAGTCAGGGAGGCCCTTTTCCAAATGGCAGAGAGGAGGAAACCAGACCCCCCTGAATAAAAAATCCACAGTAATGCTACTATATATTGGAAAAAAAAACTTGAGAGGCCCAAGAAAAACCTATTCCGTGGATTCATTGAGAACTCTTAAGTTATGCTTCCCAAAACTTGGCTTCTTAAAATACCAAAACCAATTTAAAAGAAGCCCATCATAGTCTGAGAACGGATGCTAGGTTCACATCAAAGACACCTTTAGCATGGCAGGCATATTAACTTATTTGGTGACTTTTTTTCTTTAAAAATGATCCAACAGAATAAGTGAATCAGGAGTTATTTCCTGAAAATATATCCACTTCAATAACAGAAAACTTTGGAGTGTTTTCATGCTCAAAAACTGTTTTAATTGTGTCTTATTGACAGAGATTTACAATTTCACTTGTAACATCTACCCAGCTGCCAATCCAGCCATTAAAAACTCACAAGCTTTAATAAAATCCACCATACTGCACACTCTGCAGTACTATCTGGAGCAATAGTTGCAAACCTTTCAGTACAGCAATACAATCTCCACCGGAACAAATATTTAAGTTTTTTTTTTAATTGGCACAGCTGAATTGGGAAGATGTTAAAACCTCTGAAATCTTAGTTTTCATTTTTTTACAAGTTGTGATAATGTGCATGTAGTCCGCTTTCACCAAACTTTCACACTTCCACTTACATCTTATATTATTTTTCATATACAACTACTCAGGAATCTGCTTTTTCCAAAGCTATGCTCATAAATTGTAAGTAGCATTGCTGTCAGTAATGATGAGCTACTGAATTTACTGTCAGCAGTACAAACAAGCCAACATTAAATTTTGAAAAAGTGATTCATTTTGAAACCCAAAGTTTTATTTTTTAAAAGAAACAAACACTGAAAATAACCCATCTTACAAGTTGGCCTACTTATTTAGCTGTATGTATTTAGTGTTTATACATAGCTAAGACTATCATAGCTATGATGACACCTGAAGAAGGCTCCATGGCTGAAACGTTGTGTTTTTTCTCTCTTCTTTTTTTCAGCATGGAATAAACCTATTACTTTTTCCTTTATAGTCTAGCTAAGACTATAAAAGCCCAAAATAAAATAAAAACCTAGGAGTACAATAAGACTGACTATAAAATATCACATCGATTACATCTGGCTACTACTAAACTGTATTCTGCATGTCCCCAAAACCAAAGCCTTAATGTAACTTTGGCTATTAACCCTCTGCCACCAGTCTACAGGCACTGTGCAGCTCAAGTTCCAATTTTCCTTTGCACTCTTAGAGCTACCATTTGTTATTGACATAGATAACATTCAGTCTTTTCTATTATCTTGGCAAGCTTGGTTGTACATAAAGGCTGACCCCTTCGCTTAAGAGAATGCATTTAGAATAGAAAATACCTTCTGTGATGAAAATAACTTCTTTCCTTTCTGTTGTAGCTTTGTATCACTGTTCTATTCTAATTTGTTTTGCAAAAAAGTAGGATTTCTACAGAAATTTCTAAATATAATTAAAACTATGTACATTAAAAATCACAAGCATTATTTTCAACACTGAGTTATTTCACTGTATTGACACTTCAATTTGAATTTTTACTTAATTTCCTATTTTAATGAATTTTATTGATTTCAAATATCCATATAAAACACTACACAGTTACTGCAATTAAAAATAACTAACAAAATTAGTAGCTTTATTCTTAAAGTCAACTGTTTACGAAATGACAAATTTCTAACACTACATTTGCCATCTACGTCCAAACCCTTTTTAAGTGAATATTTCTTTTTGTTTCAAAATAATTTGAGATTGAGAATGCTTCAAAAGTACCATCTTTAAGGAAGATGGTTTCTATTCTTCTAATTAATGGATCTTTCAAATCTATCATGCTATTTATTTTCATATTTCCAGCAAAGCACATGATCAACAGAGTTGCTGTCCTTCTATTAGCTACACTCCAGCCATTACTTGCTCATCATCCAGTTTTTACAGCTGAAGTCTGACAGTAACTATTCAACATATTTCTCTATGAACAGAGAATTATCTGCAGTGGCTAGTTTAATCGTGTCTTGGAACACTATTCCGAAACTTGCTTTCTGACAAGGGACAGTAGATCAGAAGTGCCTGCAAGAATTCATACTCATTATTTCCTCTGGCGTATAACGAAATCAAAACTACAAATACCCGCACCTCATATCAGTAGAAATTGTTAACTCCAATCACAAAGCCGTATCAGCGGCAGAAAAGGGTAAGTGGCACCTTCAGACGCCAGTTATGGATTGTCAACACAGTGCAATACTTCAATTTACCGGTGCTACATAACAGACAAAAACTACAAAAACCCACAGAAATGTGCATTTGCAGTTACATGCTGTTGTCTTGCCCAGCGATACATTGCTATTAATTCTATAAATTCTATTTCTATTCCAGATCTCTATCCCTGACTACTTTCAAAGGATAAAGTATTTTAATACTGAAAAATGCACCATACCCCTGTCAATAGGCCTAGTGTGGACATTCTGGGATTCACAATCTGCCACTCAGTGAATGAAAAATTCCTATTACTCCAATTGTGCTGAAGAAACTTTATGACCTCAAAACTGTTCTAGCCATAACACTTCTTATTTTTACTTTGTTTTTAAATAAATCTAAAACCTGGAGCCTTAGTACTGACTACAGGGAAAACATAACATTACACGATAGAAAAGAAAAGGTAGAGGACAAAGAAAGTATAAAGTAGCACAAACTACTTGCTACAAACTACTTGTATACATCATGATTTTCAAATCTCTTGACATCTCTTGACAGGAAAACCCAAATGTTCTGAATGTCTAATGTTTTATGTTTAAGATTCAGTGGACTTGATGCTTATTTCTACCACTTTTCAATTTGAGCCAGATGTTGACCTAGGCCCTACATCACAACTTTTAAGCTAACACTTCCAATCCTTTTTTTATAGGGAGCCTATACCTAAATAGCAACACAAATACATAAAAAAACACACTTTCATTTTACACATTAGCGATATAAGCTTCTCATTACCAAGTAACGGATTCAGAAAGAAAAAGCAACAACTGACACCCAGCTACACCTTCACATGAAAGGGCAGCTATTTAACTAAAAAGATGGAAAAAAACCTTGTTAGAAAAGATAAATGGTCACAATTACTAAATGAATGAGAACCATATATTAAGTGACTTTGGAACAGCAGGGCTTATGCTCATAGCTGTGGCAGTTAAAGAAAAACACTGGTTTCATTTGCTTATTAATGTACTACTCAGTTCTTATTGATTCATCAGTAACTTCAAACTCCAGGTCTCTCTTTGTCTGGTACTGGGTTGAAAAAAAGCATTCAGTTCTGACCTGGAGGGGCAGTGATACACTTTAGGGCCTATGGTGAAGGCTTCAGTTGTTCGGTTGTTGACAAATTGAAAATGAAAAACAACAATACATCTGAAACATAGAAACCACAAAAACCAGTGCTAGTCTTTCAGGAACCCTGGGAAGCTAGTTTTGACAGCAGCTTTTATGAGGTGTAGATTTTGTTGAACAAAAAGACAGTGGAAGCTGGTGTGAGATCTCAATATATCAAGAGCAATTCAACACCTCCCACACAGAATCTACAATATGTCCACTCCTGGATCAAGTCTGCTACAACTAGACCATAGTCAGATTTAAAACACACCTGTATAAAAAATGCACTGCATAATGTATAGACAATATATTGCATTTCAAGATCTTATGCTGTGTAGTTTAAGTTATAAAGGAACATTTAAAGGCAAAACATACATTTTTAAATAAATTATGATACAGTATAACATTTTATAGACCACAGACAGGAGTGCCTAAAACCTAACACCTTAAAATACATAAAATTAAAAAAATTGATGATCAAAATAAATCTTGCCCAAAAGCATAAACATGTTCCTTGTTTCAACTGCATTAAACCTTTGAAAAAGGGGTACAGTATACCGCCTAAAGTTATAAATTTTGCCAAGCTAACGTATCTCAAGACAGGATTTGGAAATATACATATTCAAATACATTTTGAATTTGGATTCCAACACCGAAGAGACTTTGCAAAAAAAAGTGCAAATTTCATAAGTCTAAAACATATTTGGTATTTACTGAAGCTTGAGCATCAGTACGTTCCAGACAGGCATGATGTGTTATATCCGTAAAATAGTCAACTTCTGAAACACCAAACACCAAAAAAGAACCCACTTTCTCTCATGGTAAACCAAAAAGCACGCAGTTGTGGACCACAGGCTCACAGGAAACTGTTGAGATAGGGAGGTTGTCTGATCTGCTTCAAGAGTGAATGCTCAAAGCCACAGGCCACAAGAGTCGAGTGTCCCACAGCAGAGTGAGGGGAACTCTGGCTCTGAAGATCCAAACGTCATGGGGAAAATCTGTACTGGGGAAAAATCTGTGCTTAAACCAAATGTTTTAATATCGTATACTGCGTCTTGTGCTGCTGCTACGGAGATATGTTACCAATACAAAATGGGATATATTAACAGAAGTTGTAAACAACTATGAAAAAATGTCAAGAAATGGTCCAACAGTATTTGCTGAAAAGAGTGGAATGACTGAGGTGTATATACTGCTAATACAGACTATTCAAATCACAGCTGGAACCAAAGATTGTTATGGTCAACTTGGAGGACATCTTAATATTTTCTCCTCACCATTCTACACAGCCCAATCACAAAACCTCATTTTCGCTTACAAAAAAAACTGAATGTAGGTTTCATCTCTCAAGAATGATTACAGTCATGTAATGTAAAGTCCAAAGATGCCTTCTAAGAAAGAACAGAATGTATAACCAAGTTATCGGAAGGAGCTGAGACGCACAAGAGATCACAATAAACACACAAAAAAAAGATCAATGATAAAACACTGGAAAACTTAGTCAGAGACTCAGCTAAGTAACTTCCATACAGTTAGTTGCTAAGGCAAGATAGCTTTTAAATCACTGATAAGATTAATCTCCTGCTGTTGAAAATACTGTATGATCTGGGACTAAACAGAAAAATATAAATTGGATTGATTAGCCTAGTTGATAGATAGACAGGGAAATCCCAAGCAATTTAATTTGCTTTTCAAAGAGGAGAAAGGATTACCGGAAGGATCAATCGCTCAACTTCTAATGACAGCTGTTTAATCACTGCATGATGTCGCCTTTATTATGAACTCGGATTTTACATAAACAGACGGAAATATTGATGGAGTACAAAGGGTCAATGGGTACTTGTGCGTTTTTCCTCCTCAACAGTACCTTGAGTATGATCAAAGATGAACCAGGGACTGCTCTACATGAAACAAAACTATTTGAAACAGCAGACAACGTACCATTTTGTTACTATGCAGTATATTATTTTTTTGCAGTAGGGTATTGTTCAATATTCCTATTAGTTACATAATTTGTTAGTACTCAGGACTATTTGACAATACAAAATACTTATACGCACAGAGCATTCAGTTAATTTGTCAGGTTAAGTCCGCTTTCATTTGAACTAAAGACTCTTTCATACAGCAGGGTGTTTACTGGGGCAATCGAGTGATATACCTTGCTCACAGACACAAAAGCAAGTTGCACTTGGTATTTGAACCCATGACCCTCCAGTCCTGAGTCCAGAACCTGAACCAATACTCTGCAATGCTGCCTTAAAATAATAGAGTAAATTAAGGAAGACTTCAATCAGCAAACATTTCTCTGAATAGTTGTCAGCACACTATATACTATATGCATCTTTCCATGAACCTCTCATATATGTGCTACAAAAGGAGATGATAAAATGAAGGAAGATTAAATTTTTACCATGACTCTACAAAACTTTCAATGGCTAAAGAGGCACCATACCTCACACCATACCATGCACAAACTATCTTAAGCAGCTGAAAAATAAGATTTCTGCACAGAATGTAAGGTACCAAAAATGAACAACTTAACTAATACATGAAAAACATTATGAGGCTTGCTTTCAGAGCCAGTGAAAGTTGTGTTGGGGGGGGGTTCAACTTTTAATAAAGTGTTTAAAATGATAATACTCTGATAAATCTGCATAATTATAGCATAACTTGATCCAAAACACAGCTTCAGTATTCTTTAACACACCAGCTGTTCCTCAGACAGACTCCTCGCCACTTACACATAAGTACTCTGGAATACTGAACTTCACCTAGTTTGAATTTGTGAAGGATGTGCATTTAAACCCTGTGAGGGACTGGTGTCCCTTCCAGGGTATATCCTGTCTTGTGCCCTTTGCTTGCCGAGATAGGATCTGGCACCCCACAACCCTGAATTGGGAGAAGCGGTTAGAAAATGGGTAGATTTGTATCATGCAATTTAATGCTACTATTGTTTACTAAACATAATGAATCAATATTCATGTTACCTAAAGAAAATAAATCAATTACTACATTACACAACGTGGTGTTTTCACAAATTACAGGAAATTAATAAGATAACACGATGACAAGCGCTTCACTTTCCAGTTACTAAAGGTAACAAATCACTATTTAATACACGCCTTAAAATCACCTGCTTTGAGGAAGTGACTGAAAATAACTTTTTTACCTAGTGCCATGTTAAAGATGTTCTGTAACAAATGTATTCAAGCACCTTCACGAATCTATGCAACCTTATATCTTCCTAAATGCAGTAATGAATTTAAAAAAATGATGACTTCTTTCACAGGTTAAGTCAAAACACTGCTTTTGAACCTAATACCCGAAGTAAATAGGCATCACCTAAGATATACATTAAACATACAAGCAAGAAATATACCCATTATGACCAAAAACTCAAAGAGGTAATACTACATCCTTAGATAACTTTAAACGGACAGCGTCTGGCACAACCCATCAGTCAATGCTTGGCAGAGAACCACAAAACAGCAGTTTTGACACACAACTACTGCTGTGTTTACTAGTGTTTAAAAGGAAATGGCTGTAAAGTGTAAACTGACGTGACAATGTAACCATCTGTGGCGTAATGAAAATACATATTTCAATGCAATTTTTACATTCATACTGGGAGAGAGAAAAAAAAAACATAAGCTCTTCCCCGCCCCCTACATTCCTGTTTGTCAAAAATGAAACAAATATTGAATTTACAGTATGCAGTCTATAACTTAAGGTGCTGTCCTAGTCATTTCCTGCGTTTTTCGATACTGTCAGTGACTGTTAAATGGCATATGACAAGAACTAACCCTAGGGTGCAACTTCAGGCTTCTCGAGAACCTAAAAACAGGGGACATGAAAATGGTGTACTGTGCATACCGTGTGGGACAATTTCTGGCAAAAAATGGGCGTATCGGTTGTGGTAACTGTGAGATTTATTGTACCATTTTCTTCTAAATGCCACATTAACAGTAAACGTAATCGCGTCACTGTAATCATAAATGGCAACAGTGATTGAAAAGATGCAGCAAAAATGCTCACGGAACTGGAGACGCTTTTAATATTTGGCTGGACTGACATAATTCGCGGGTAATGTTACAGAGCTGCACGAATTGTCTAATCATCCCACAGTCCGTGGCGACGTGCGGAACGGTACTTCAATGTTTGGGAATGCTAGATGTGGTGTGCTTAAAAAAACAAGCACGGTCAAACTGTAAAAAAAAACAATTGAAAATATAGCAGAGACAGCTACCTACTGCTACAATTCGATAAACCACAAGAGAGGGAAAACACAGTAAAGCGGTTAAAAATGACTTCGGTTGGATGTTTAAATGAAAACAGCCGGAAATATAAAATTGCATAAAGTCAAGCAAGATAACAAATACGCTTCCGACTGCATTTGTTTTTGTCTTCGTGCGTGTGCGAAAAAGAATACATAAAGGTCCTGCACAACACACACGGAACAAGCTCGGTCCTATCCTCGCCGAAATAGGTCCTCCACACATTCTCCTTTAAAAGATGGCGGGCAGGGGAAAGATTCTGTGTGAAATGCAGTCGATCCGTCCCTCTCCCCGTACCCTGCACCGCTCTGCTGCATTCACTAAACCCCGGACGGTGTGCAAGTAATCACACTGCACAAAGATCTCATTTGCTTACAAACAGTTCCAATTTTCACGACCAGAAGTTCACACAAAATCTATTAACCCCCTACGCGAAACCAGGCTTTGTTACATTGTTGTAATGCTGCTAATGTACAGAGACAGCTTTGTTGGAAAAAAGGTAGCAGTTTATAGGTTCAATGCATTTTTCTCGATCGGTTATTCCGCTCAAAGAGTGCCGCAAGCCCTCAATCTTACAATAAGCAATAACGCTAAAAAAGACGAATATTTTAATTTATTACTTTTCCCCTCAGCAGCTCCAACAGCGTTTTGCTTGCAGTCGTCCTACCAGGTCTTCTTTTATTTCAGCAAAGCAGCATAATAGATGAGGTCCTACGAGTCTCCTGCTCATGCGCCGCAAAACAAAGGCATCACGGGAGTCGTCGTTCACCGCTCCAGCTTTCACTCTGAAATCGGGATGTTTTGAAAATCAAGGACTACAGCTTCCAACATGCAGTTGGCTGGTTAGCGGTGGTGTTTCTTGGCCCACTCAACAAAGCTTAGCGTCGTACTCTAGTTTGAGAAGAAGGAAAGATAGATTTTTTATTCTGCTTGAATAGTTTTTTTACGCAGATTACGCTGTATTGTAATCGGATGGTGTTATTGATTTTCGAGTCAAACGATCTGGTTGCTTCCTTCAAAGACATCGAGTTTATTTTGAAACTCGTGCTGAGCACCCTTACTCTCCTTCAGTCATTACCAAAACTAGTTTTGTGTAATTGCGAAGTTCGTATTCTCTGAGCTGTCAGTACTACAGGAAAGATCACTTCTGGACTCTAACAGTGGAATCGATAAAGTATTTAATATTGCAGTCATGGGATGCTGGATGTATATTTTTAATCGTGGAAAATGTTGTAATTGTTATGTTAATTTACCTTTTAACGTTAATCTTTTCAGGTATAAAACGATTTTTAAAGCATGGAGGAGAACGAGAAAAACGTGTTTGTGTGAGAACATAGTTTTCAGTTTATCAAAGTATTGACAGAATCTGTAGGATTTTTAAATGAACAATGAGTTTTCACCTCCTATACAAAAACATTGATGCAGAATGGCTTGTTAAGTGTTATAGTAATATGTTAACATTTTTGATACACCATGTGTTCAGCAAACAAAAAAATATATATTACTCTAAGTGAAACTGTTGGTTAACAGCTTTAGTCCAAATGGGAAGCCTGACAGAAAAACTGGCTTAATAGACATTGGCTTCCAAATAGCAGATGGTAGACTGCTTGCAGTGTGACCACCTGTTCTTCATCTTGCTTGATGTGATTCTCGGTTCTTCATTTCTCCTTTTAAGTGGGTAATTTAAAAATAATTACCAATTGGCTTCTTGGACCAGTTGGGCTTGAAGAGGCATGAGACATCTTTTTACAGCCAATAAATCTACATGGTACCATACTTAGAATGCTCACAAAATTGGAGTCTGGTGTTCATATTTGCATTCCATGATGCATAAAACTTAATAACTCCAGTACTTTTGTACCCATATAAGTAGTTTGTGTATTGAAAAAAAAACGATATTCCAATGTTCCAATATTCCCTTGTTTAATTTTGCAATGCCTCTCAGTATATAGTGGTTCTATGTATTTCTGTGGTTCTATGTGCAGTGTTTACTGTCAGGGGACAAAATTAAAATATTTTTCTGTGTTCTTGCTCGTATTACTGAAAATTCACAGTTAAAATTATTTTTTATCATAAGAATATAAGAAAGGTTACAAACATGAAGGGTGGCTTGGTGGTGCCGTGTCTAGCATTGCTGCTTTGCAGTGCTTCATTCAGTGTTGCTCCAGATCGACAGAGCACCAATGTATGTTTTCCGCATGTTTACTCTGGGTAGGTTCCCACTGGGTGCTCTGTTTTTTTCCCACTATTCCAAAACATGCTAGGTTAACCGGCTTCTGATAAAGTTGGCCCTGCTGTCTGGACTGGCAACCAGTCTATGGTGTACTTTGCCTTGCACGTTGGTTGTTTGAGATCGGCTTTCCCCGACCCTGAATTGGATGAAGGGGTTAGAAAATGGATGGTTGGCTACAAACAAGAGGTCTGTCTAGCCCATTTGGTAAAGAGTAAATAATTGAACAAGAGACCTTATTCAGATTTTGCTTGAGAAAGAGCAAAAGGTTCTGGCTTCAAAAACCTTTTGTTTTGGACACTCTGCAATATGGGCCTGTCCCATCGGCCAATCTGCATGTATTCAGCAATACTTCATACTTCATCTTCTATAATAATATTTGATTCCCTTCTTGGTTTTTGCATTGCCTTGAAGATAATGAACAGATTCGATTGAAGTATTCAGAATGGTCCAAGTTACTGACTTCCTCAGGGAAACATAAATAGGAGGAGGAGACAGGATGGTATACATAGAACTGAGAACTATGTATATCAAACAAAACAGGACTGATTGTGCCTTTCTTCAAAAATCTGCAGGACAAGGTCCTCATATCAATCACCAACTAACAAACAAACATTCAAGATGACCTTGTCTCCATTCAAATATTTCTTGTGTTCTGTGTTTTTTCCAATGTAGTCTGTTCTCAAACAGTGGCGGTTTATGATTTCAGCACTTTCCAGCTCATAAAGTTTCAATTGGTCATCAGCAGTCTACCACAAAATATAGTGGTCTGTACAGGTACTGTCAAAAATGAGTCATGCAGGGTCCTTCAATGTATATAAAGGGAGAGGAGGTAAGATAATAGCAAAGCTATTGGATTTTTTTTTACAAAAGGAAAAGAGGCACAAGCAAGAAACATTGTTTCTTATAGCTGTTCTTTATGGTGTAATCTAATCTTGCTAAATAATATTTAGTTTGTCTTGGTCAATGGTTTTGGGTTAAGAAATTTAGATTTAAAATGTGTGCTGCTTTAGGTATTCAGATGACAAAGCGAACGGTCATAACATTGGCCAGTGATGTATACCTAATTTGACAAAGATTTAATACTGTGTCAAGATTATCATAGAGCCAATACTCGAAGAACCACACACCCAAAGGACAAGGATTCCTTCAAAAGGAGTCCAGATTAAGTCATTAATAACTGTATATGGTACATATATTTCAGAACATTTAAACAGTCAACATAAAACTAGTCTAAGTCTTATTTGAAATGTGTAAAACAAATAGAACACCTCTAATAGGTCCTTATAGCTAAACTATATCTGATAAAACTGCCAGAATTTGTTGCATGTAGTGCACTCAGAGGAGCTGTAGGAACTAAGAGCAACATGAGATGGAGAAACTGGTAAGGCCTTCATTCAGAGTCGCTCCAGATCAACAGATCACCAATGTAGAGAAGTTGTCAGAGAGCAGGTGGTCCCAGACTGTGAAAGATTAAAGAATACTACATTCCTACCCAATACTCCTACCTAACATGACGTTGCCAAATAAAATGATTCCACTTGAGGATCTGGAAACAGGCAGGGCAGTTGAGTCTTTGAAACTCAAGGCTGTAGTTCCTAGAGTTCTGTCATCACAGACACATCAGCCATGACAATTCCAGTCAGCGTCAGGAAAAATACAAGAAAAAGAGAAGGGTTGATTGTTGGAGACTGTGTTCTCATGAACACTGCAAATGAAACCTCACATAAACAGCAGTGTGCTATAACACTAATTTCAAGGCTACCAGATGGGCATCTAGCAAGGACAGGTGAGCACCCAGTGGCTATTACTCATATTGAGACAGATGACATTAGCATAAGTAACACAATTCTTCTATGAATCAAATTAAAATAGAATTTCTTAACTAGTCATGTCCAATACCATAATCATGTTATGTTTTTGAAACATTTACTCTTTGATGGGCTTTTTGGCAGATCTGTAGGTTTCCAGAATCTCACTGTATAATCTCCCAATAGACAATACTGTATATAGCCCATAGGTAATCACTTTGACAAATATCAATAAAGTTAAGGACAAAATTGTGGGCAGCACAATGGCACAATAGCTAGTTTTGCTGCCTTGTAGCACTGGGGCCTGGGTTAAAATCCTGGGGTGCTAACTATGTGGAGTTTGTATGTTCTCACTGTGTTTGTGTGGGTTTCCTCTGGGTGTTCTGGTTTGTGTGTGTCTGGCCTGCAAATGGTCTCCTGCAACCCTGTGAAGAAAATAGATGTGTGAAATTCTCATCTTTTTTTCCCATAAACCATGATTTAAATAGAAGAGCAGGTGAGTAACAGGATCAACACACTTTATTTCTTCAAACTAGTAGCCTCATCTAATACATCACGTTAGATTTTAGGAAAGTATCGTTGCAGGTTTGAGCACACAATATTAGAATACACAAAACGTGCCATATCATTCCCCTGACAAACTATACTGGAGTGTGCAGTTTACACTTTTTTGAGCTTCAAATCTATTTTTAATGCATGTTTCTCATGTATAATGTATGTATTCATACAGAAACAGCAGATATGGATTTGGCACAAAAATGTACTCAAGGAGTCACCAAGATGAAATCGTTGACCATTTGTAAAATGTGTTTTAAGATATGAATTGGCAAGTTAACTTTTTCACATGATAAGGATATATATAAATAAAGTGCAAACTGTCTCAAATTAAATGGTACTGGAGCTCAGCTCCAGTTCAAATTAAGCGTAGAGGATTATATCTGAATGAAAAGGGTACAGATTGTTTTGATTCATAGTAATTTACATTACAATTGCAAGGGGGAGAATTTAAAGAAGAAAAAAAGATACATGGAAAGTAAAGATAAACAACTTGAGTGTTTGTACCTAAATGCAAGGAGTGTTAGGAGAAAAGTGAAGAAAACAGAAGCTAAAACATTAGCAGGTGACAACAATGTTACTGGTACCAGAAAGAAGAATTCTGGTGAAGAATTAAAACACAAGAAGATACAGGATAAATGAAAGAGTTGGAGAGGTAATATTATGGTAATAATATACATCATGAATGTTCAGGCACAGGAATTAATCAAAAGTCCCAAAACAAATGTGGGTCAGACATAATGTTATTCAAAGGGAACAGTGCTAAGAGTTTGTCACATACAACCAAAATAAGCTGTCAATTAATAATATAGTCTTATGTAATGAAATCAGGAATGTGTATAAAAAGAAAGAAGTGCAAGATCCTACAACTTCACACATGGGTTATTTTCCCAGCTTTCTCGTCCTTCACTAAATTTACCTCGGCAAAGTTACTCGCCACTTTTGTCCCTTCCTGTTTGCCGTAAATATAGTACATGTTCATGCGTGCGGACATGCGCACTGTGCGTCTGTCGCCACATTCCCCGCCTGAGCTCTGAAGCCAACAAGCTGCAGCTTCTTCATTGCAACAGAAAGAGAAGAAGGACAATATTCCAGTTATTGTTCAAAAGGGAGGGTTCGCAAGGCGAACCAAGACGTCGATTTGGTGACAAAACGAACGGTGACCGTAAAGACGACCTTTGAGAGGCGAGTAGGTGCGCATTTTTTATTGTTTGAATGGAAGGAGTAGAATATGCATGTGCAAAGAAAGGAAAAAAAATCCTGAATGATTTGGTTTTAACGCAGACTGGGGGGATGGGTTGCAGACGTGGAAATGCAGTGGTCTGAGATTTCTAGACGCGAAGCTAAAATCGCAGTGTAAAAATGTGCTCGAACGGTGTGATCAAGGAAGCATGTCTGGTTTTGAGTGATGCTTTGGCGTTTTCTGTGCCAGGCCGCAGTAACTGATTAAGTAGTTTAACCTATAATCTTAGTTTTTTTAAGACTTCAGTAGTTGCTTGTGAGTAAGAGAAGCCTTATGTGTTTTTGATTAGTGGACTTTTTTATATTAAAAAAAAACAGAACGGAGTACCCGGTTTATAGCCTACGGTAGTCCTGTTGTTGTAGATGGGCAGGTAAATTATGAATTACGACGACTCTTACTGTCGTACTCCAGTACTGCAGCCTGTCGCCTGAATGCCAATTTGAAGTGAACAGATTTAAGGTTAGTTGCTACATTAGGTAACAATTCTGTTCTGAAGGTTCCAATTCGTGCCATTTAAGGTGTTGTTTTAAAGGATTTCACCTACCTTTCTGCTGAAGTCCCTCCTAAGGTAAACTTTAACCGTATATAGATTCCGGTTTGGTGAAATCTTCACCCGTAACGTTTTGATTTGATCACGCTTCATACAGGTGGCATTCACAAAAAAGATGAATGTCAAATAATGTAGTTTAGGTACGTAGATTTATATACTGTATTATTTATGTGTAGACATGTCATTCATGCTCATTTTTATCTCTTCCGCATAACAGCGAAGCTGAAACGTTCCTTAGTGTATTAGCTTCTTATTTATGTTGTGAAATACAACAAGCAGGATCAGTAACCTTAAATTGACCTGCTAGCCTTATTTAGGTCTCAGTACCATAAGCATTACAACCTTGGTTCAGTTTGTTTTTAAACCAACCAGCTTAATGACTGATGGCCATTGATTTCTGTGACTTACAGAAAATAATTAACCATATTTATCATCATCAGTTATCATGTCCAGTTGAAAGGCCTGGCCCCACAAAAGATTTTAAATCTATTTCATAGCATCTTTCTGTATTAGAACTTTGCAGTGTACAAAATGTACAAATGTTACAACAGACCTTTAAAATGGAATACAATTTTATAAAGAACATTCAATGCTTGAATTAAAAATATCTGTATAAGACATATATTAATTTTGAAGATTCATGTTTTGGAAACAAAAATGTTTTGAAAATGAAGCTGTTTCAATTACAAGTAATGGGCAAATGAAATAAGAATTATGTGTCTTTTGGTGTGTGTTGTTGGTTTTGGTGTATGTTTTTTTTTTACTAAATGGGCGCAAACAACAAGCTTCTATTATTTTTAGTTGTGATCGTCTGGCTGCTCTGGCACCTATTCCGAAGATCTGATTCACTTGCTCAGTAACCATGGCAACAGAGGAGAAGAAACCAGAAACTGAAGCCACTAAAACACAGTCTGCTTCATCAGCATCTGCTAGTCAGAGCAAGGTAGGAGGGGCCAGAATGCATACTCTTTTTTGGCGGGTGGGAGTTGTCAGTTTCATTTGAATTGATGAGTCTGTTTTGACTGTAAATATGTATTTAACTCTACTTATTTTCCCCTCCATTTTAGATAAGTATAGATTTGTTGTACAGAGGTTAAATGATTCCTTAAAATGACCCCCTTTGTAAGCATTCTAAATGTATTGAGTTGATTTTTTAATTTCCTCAGTGTTGGATCTTGTAGATTAACTGCAATTTGAATTTCAGGTCAGCAGCATGTCCAAATATTGCATTAACTCATTTGAAATATTGTAAACTTATTTTACACAGCAAATGTAAGATTTGATCCTATATATTATTCACACCCTTTGGATTTCAAGTAAATTAGTATCTTTGCTATTAATATACTAAAGTGTAAATGATTTAGGAATGTAGTTAGCTGTTTACATAGCTTGCTGGTGAATAGTCTCTTTGCCATAGACATTTTAATGAGCTAAAGAGTATAAATGTTAATTTTTACTTGCTTACAGGAAAATGTCTATTGTTGTGACACAGTTGTGGTCAGAAATTCCACAAATTATTATTGTATGCTCAATTTCTGTAGAAAGTTTGTTTCAGAGAAGCATATTTTTCATATGATCTAAAATCTATAAGAAATTCTGCAAAAACAGTAACGTTACAAGTTATAATTATTATTTTAGCCTTTTTATTACAGATTAAAATCATATTCTGTATCGTGACAGCAGTAGTCCTTTGATTTGATCCATGTATGTTTAAATTCATTTATATACTGATGTCAGCTGTTGTTCAAGGAAGAAGCTTATTGCCTTGTGTGCAGTTTGATCAGTGTGGCAAAAGTATTTGTTTGGATGCAGTGTTTTATAGCGATTTTTTTAGAAATTTAGAATTGCCAGTTTTGCTATACTTGCAGTTTTGGTTATTCCAAATTGTGTGTTGTTTTACATCTGGGCTCACCCCTACTTACCTTGCCACTGCACAAGGGAGAATGATGAAGTATAAGCTGAGTCCTCTGACCTGTCTGAGTAAAAAAAAAACATTAAAAACGTTTTTTTTGAATATGTCACAGGCACACCGCCCTCTACTCTTTAGGCTCAGTACCGATTGGAAGAGAGGCACCTTGACCAAAGCTTGACAGCAAGCACCCGAGTGCCTGCAGGGGTCACGGAGAACTGAGAGCCCTGACCAATTTACTCTCTGCTTACACTTAGCAATGCTTAGCCCCTGTTCACAGCCAGCCTATGACGAGACTCAGGCTTAAACCTGTGACCACAGCTCAACTTGTTCTTGGGCCGTGTCTTTACCAGTGGAGCCACTTGGGAGGCCTCATGTTATAATTTTCTTACTTCTTGGATCAGCATTATTTTTAAGTGATAATTTCTTAAGATGCCCTTTTAATGGCCAGTCTTTTCTGATGAGATGTGAAGAACACACAACTTTGGTAAAAAGTTGGACTGATTTAATGGTAGTGTTCGCTTTCATTATTGTGCATTGCAATTAAAAATATATATATATACCCGTTGCTTGGATGTGTATAATGTACAGTTTTAAGTTTGAAGCATTTTCTTGAGGGTATTGTTGGTAACTTGTTTACCTTCTTTTGTTATCTCACTTTGCAGTCGGCACCAGTGAAGCCCAATTACACCTTGAAGTTTACATTGGCTGGCCACACAAAAGCTGTCTCATCTGTGAAATTCAGCCCTAGCGGGGAGTGGCTGGCCAGCTCCTGTAAGAATTCTAATTTACAAGTTCCTTTTCCCGTCTATGAGCAAGGCCTTGTGAAAGATATTGCCGTGACTCTTTAGATGTGCACAGCATTTACTGAAAGTCTTTATGTATTTACATAGTTTGCTCGCAGGTGTAAATGATTTCTTTTTTTTATTCATGAGTGACTTATTTTGGTGATTTTTGCAATCCGATATCATCATAGAAGCATTGCTTTATGATGTCTCTACACAATGGTATTGTTAATTGCATTCATAAAAGTAAATAAAATTTGTAAAAATATTCTTAATCTCACAGCTGCTGATAAACTGATCAAAATATGGGGAGCGTATGATGGAAAATTTGAGAAAACAATATCAGGTCACAAACTTGTAAGTTAATATTTTCTTTGGCTTTAACAGTTTTGTTTTACATCTGTTTATTGTTAACCAGCTATCTGTTGTGTAAATGTTATTGTAGTTTTTGTTCTTACAAGTACATGGTTTCTGAAATTGAATCATTGAAATTGTTCTTTATATTTACACTTTTTGTGCATTTTATATATTCTAAAATCTTTGATTAAGCAAATAAAAATCCTTATTGCTCAGTAATATTCTGTAAATACAAGTTATGGCTTGTATAGATTTTCTAAGTTAATTAATTTCTAAAAATGTGGTCTGAGCTTGCATCAGGTAATTGACTTTCCTTAACTCATTTCCTTTTTTCCATCCAGGGGATCTCAGACGTGGCCTGGTCCTCTGACTCCAATCTCCTTGTGTCTGCCTCCGATGACAAGACTCTTAAAATCTGGGATGTCAGCTCGGTTAGATCACTACTGCTGTTTTTTCTTTTTTAGCCTAAACTTTGTACTGAATTAGAACTCGACAACACGCGTTAGAATTCCTGCCTCTTTTAAAAAAAAAAAAAATCTATACAAGATTGTGACATGATTCATGCTTCATATGTTAAATAGAATGTAAGTTTTACTATTAATAGCCATGTGTTGAGTAAGTGCACCTCTTTACGTTAAGATCAAAAGCTGCTCGGATCCTTGGAACCTAAAGTAACTCTTAGCGGAAATGTGTTTAGAAAGTAACAGCCTTTGCTGTCTGCATCAGCACCATCACCATAGTAACTACATTGTAAAAAAACATATATCTGGAATTACTATGGTAACCACAGTGCTGCTTTTGTGCTATTGCGTCAACATTTTTCTTTAACAGCTCTCCAAATTTAGGTGGCAATTCAGTAATAAGGAGCTCACAAGTGACTCGGCAAGTCTAGGCCCATAGAGTTCCACCTGAGTTCTGATATTTTTGGATCTGGGCTGTGTCCTTGGCTGACCGAAACTAGGATACTTTAACTGGCAGTGCACAACTGCCTGGGCTGTGCTGGCGTTTGGTTGTATTTCATCAGCCAGGCTATCATAGCCTTGTCATGCAGCTTTATTGCTTTTCCAGTGGATGCTAATTGTGCTAGGCACCATGGGACTGTGTGAAAAATGGCAGATGCCGCTTAGGAGAGCATCTTCAGCACGTGCTTTTGTCCAGTATGCATCCTTTTTGTGCTGGAAGGAGGTTTGGTAGCCATAAAACAGAGCTGATGAAAATTCAGTCCTGCTGAACTGTCTGCAGTTGAGCTCCCGTCTACTTCTTCTTTGTGATTACTATCTTTAAGACACTCATCTTTTTGCCAGTGGGTTAGATGCAATTTCATGAGGTTGAGCAGAGGCCACGACACACTTTTAAATTTCATTAAAGAAATTGTTCTTATGGAGAAATATTGGCTAGGTTAAATTTTCGTCAAAAACTCACAATGTCAGATGCTCTCTCTCATCTACTGAACTTTAATTTACTGCCTTTCCCCATTTTTGTATTTTGGAAAATATTTTGTATCCTTCACATTTGCAGTTTTTGGTTCTTTCTTGAGAAAATGTTCAAAATAATTAGCACTTCGCAAATTTGATGTATGAAGGAAAGGGCAATTCCAAGGTTATGGAAGATAAATGAAGACGTGATATCTGTGAGAAATCCCTGTACAGAATCAGGAATAGCAATTGCATTTTTATTTAAATTCTTAAAAATGAATAATGGAGTAGACTTTTTGGCCTTTTGAATCTAGAGAATAAAAACATTTGTTTCCTGTTCTTTTGATCTCACGGACTGCAATTTAGTATTTTTGTTTAATTGTGGCAAAACTGTATACTAACAGCATCCTACTCCTACTGCTATGTGTGTTAATGGATTTAAATGTTTTTCAGGGCAAATGCTTGAAAACATTGAAGGGGCACAGTAACTATGTTTTCTGCTGTAACTTCAATCCCCAGTCCAATCTGATTGTTTCAGGATCGGTGAGTTCACTCTCAAATCTTTTGCTTGCATCAGTTTGAAAAAATAGCAAGCTAATATCGTGGCCAATTTCATATAGCTATTTTTCAGCTAAGACGAAATAATTTGCTTTTTCATTAGATTTTTCTAGTGCTGTTACTTGAAATGCTACGGCATGTTAATGTCACTGTTTCCTAAAGAAATACATATTACTTTGTGCGTTCCCCATGGTTTTGTAATCTGTAGATTCATACAAAGATTTATTGTCTCTGCAGTTTGACGAAAGTGTTAGGATATGGGATGTTAAAACAGGGAAGTGTTTGAAGACGTTGCCAGCTCACTCTGATCCTGTATCTGCTGTAAGTGCATTTTGTGTTTTTTCAGTATAAATGGAAGATTTTAACATTCATCCAGTGTCCTCTGGCAATATATTTTCTTCCTCCTCTAATTACAGGTACATTTCAATAGAGATGGATCTCTCATTGTCTCCAGCAGTTATGACGGTCTCTGGTATGTGCATTATAACAAGAAGTGTTACTTTATGTACTTTGTACTTATTAAAAAGAGAGGTGTCATTTTACTGTCAAAGAATGATGGTGTCCAATATGTGTTTAAGTGTAGTAAATCAAAACAAAAATTGATTAAGGTTTACCACCAGTTGACTACAGGCCTACAGGGAGCCAACAAGTCACGGTAAAGCTAAGAGAACCCTGGCCGATTATTGTCCACCTTACCCTGGAGAGACAACAGGCAGCTTGTGCATTCTAGTAATAGTAGACTAGTGATTTCACAACTATTGGCATTATATTTTAATGAAGTGCAGGTTCATGGGACCAAAACCAGAATGAAAGAAAATGGCACACATTCCAAAGTAAATTTTGTTCTATCATTTTTCATTAATATGAAAGGTCTCAGATGGAATTGTGAGCGATTGTTCTTTGTCCTAGTGATGCTTGTTGTTTTCTTTCTGAAAAGATTGATAAGGAAGAGTATTTGATATCTGAGTGCATTTTCAGTCCCCAGTGTTAGCTTTGTTCAACATTGTACCTTTTATAGCAGTGAAAGGTTTTACTTAAGATGTTTCTGTTTGTATTTGCAGTCGAATCTGGGACACAGCATCAGGACAGTGTCTGAAAACGCTAATTGGTGAGAGGTTACTAGTGGGCACTTGTGTGCACAGCTTTTAGCAACACATTTGTTTTACGGTTTTGGGATGCCGTTATTCCCAGAACCTAAACAAATGTTCTGTTTAATATATTCAATCAGCTTTAAAGTTCTGGTCACTTTGTCTTATATTCTGTTTCAAAAGACAGCCTTAATTAATTATATATATTCGTTTAAGTTATTGGTGTTCATCTATGATATTGTAAATGATAATCACTGTGCCAGTTATTTGTAATTATGTAACAGTATTTACATTTTACAAAGTTCCCATTTCATACATGAACTTACATGCTGTGTCATAGGCTGATCTGTATTTTGTGTTTCTGTAACAGATGATGACAACCCCCCTGTGTCATTTGTGAAGTTTTCTCCCAATGGCAAATACATATTGGCAGCAACCCTGGATAAGTGAGTTGAAATCTTTTCAGCCATTGCAGTGGGAGGAGGAAAAATCATGAAAAGAGAGCTAGGTTTCTACAGTGTTTTATATATATATTTAAAATAAAAGTTTTGTTCACCATAGCTTGATGTTATTTGACAACTGAAGCTTTCTGCTAGATGTGTAGTAACATAAGTTATCCCTGCTCTTTTGTTCATGAATATGGATATTACAAGTCTTGGTAAAAATATAAAATTACACATTGTTTATATCAGGTTTAGGCTAAAGAAATGTAGCTTCTTGAATGGTCTCTACACAGAAACCTTGTCTCAGTGATATTCAGAATCCATTGATATATTTATTGCCAGCATTTTCTTACTTGACTAAACCTCTGTCCTGTGGTTTGATTGCAGCACTCTGAAGCTTTGGGACTACAGCAAAGGAAAGGTTAGTTCTCCATTCTGATCACTGATGTATATTGGGAAGAATGGTGGTCCTAGTACAGATTCACTAATTCCCGTTCCCGTTCTTAAAAAAAACTTAAATTGTTTACATTATATGCTGTACTCTTGTTGTCACTTGGCTAATATTTTATTTTTATAAATTTTATTTTGTGCAGTTCATGCAGCACAGGATGTTTTTACTTCACTTTCAATAAATACTTGTCTTTTTTTTTCCAGTGCTTGAAAACATATACTGGCCATAAAAATGAGAAGTACTGTATATTTGCAAACTTCTCTGTCACTGGTGGAAAGGTGAGTTAATTACAGTGTGCTGTGCAGTATGTTGAATGATGCAGTAATCTAAAAAGGTAAGGTGAAAATGTACAATGTTTATGGTGTAAGATCCTAATTAAGGTTTTAAGCACATAAGGGAGAGGTTGCAAATGGAAGGCCTTTCTTCAAACTCTAAATAAAGTTTATTGTAAGTAGACCCCTTTCACAATAATGTTTAATCATGGATGGAATGTTTTGAAAATTTTAAGAGGCTTTCTTTGTGAATAATGATGTAAAGTATTTTATAAAACTTAAATTTTTAAAATAGTGTGCAGTGGTGGGCATTTTAAACAACTCATTAATGATCTGCAGAGTTGGGCCAAGGACAGTGCCTCACCATCTGTGTCAAATGCACAAAGGCCTGAATTATGATAACATATAACATAGATGACACTGCCAAATTGCTGCCATTGTGTTGTCATTGTTGGGGAAAGCATGCTATGTTTTTTATATGTGTAAGAAGTACTGTCACACAAGCATACCTGATACTAGTACGGGGTGGTGTTGCCTCAAATTTCATCATGTAAGAAAACCAAAGCTGCTACACAAGTTGTTCTACAGGATGATTATGAAATTAAAGCCCTAATAAAAACATGACCGAATACTACATTCAGAAGCAGTTGATCACTTTTAGAAACAGTAGCTGATCAATAAATATGTATGTTGAAAATGGCAGAATTCAGACTAATACCAGTGCCATGAAGACAAAAAGTACGAGGGGATGCACATTTTGGTTAGTTTATTATTCTATATTTATAAATATAGTTTATCTTATGTAGATGAAATTGAAAAACATCAGTTTGATCCTGTTGAGATTATGATTCTTACGATTGTTATTAGTATGTGTGTTACATCATTCATTTAACATTGGCAATGTTAGGCAGATTTTGTGGGAATGTCCTAACACACTTTTAGCGCTACAGAATATACATTTGTGGAATTAAAATAATGGACACTTGATTCTGGCAGCAGTCTCTAACTGTACCATGGAGTGTGTAACCTAGAACTTCATAGCTCCCTGTGATGTTTAATACTTCGAAAATCTCATCTTTATGTTCCTTTGCTTTTTCACAACATCTTTGTTTCACTCAAGGTTGGATTATTAGTTCTTATCATGGTATTCTGTCCATTTCTTCCTTTACAGTGGATTGTCTCGGGCTCAGAGGATAACATGGTATATATTTGGAATTTACAGACCAAGGAAATTGTACAGAAGTTACAGGGCCACACGGGTAAGTGCTTTAGTGAGTCTGTGTGCCTTGATAAGCTAAGGCACTTTTGGTGTTACTTCTATCTGTATTGTACGTCAGTCAACTTTAGTTACTACTGTACTATACAGGGACAACTTTACTAAATGTGGCTAAATTGCACTTTTCTGTTTTTTTTTATGAAGACGTTGTGATCTCTACAGCCTGTCACCCAACAGAAAACATCATTGCCTCTGCAGCGCTAGAAAACGACAAAACCATCAAACTCTGGAAGAGTGACTGCTAAGTGGAGGAAAAGCTTTCAAAAGAGGACTTTTTGCAGGCTTGCCCCGGGACCCAGCAGGGGCTGGCAGATGTGTGAGGGAAAGCTGAAAATACAGATTGGAGGCAGTTGCTTGAGCTGTTAAGAACATGGTCAAATCCACTTTTTTCTAATGAGCAAATCCTCCCCCTCCTAAAACCACAACTTCTAAGCTCTCTCGCTTTCTCTTTTTAAGGCCTTATTTTAAAGTGTGAAATGTATCTTTGTGTTTACTTATTAAATTTTAGTCGTTAAATCAACTGCTTGCTGAAAAAAGGGGTTAGCTTTGTTCAACATTGTATTAATAGTGGCAGCTTGGTCAGACATAGCTTTACCAGTGCTAAATAATATTAGAAGTGTACTGTTTTTTCCTTTCCTGAGGAAGGCAGGATGATTTCAATGCGACACTAATACTCATCCACAAAAAGATTGCAGTTTAGTATTCCAGGCTTAAATGATGGTCACAGGGGCTTTAAGTTTCCAGAAACCGGACCTGATAGAAATATGGCATTAAGTAAAAACAAACGAAGACAAAAATGCAACTTGCAATTGAATTACCTGATCTAAAACACAAATTGTTTAATGTTTAGATGTTAACTAGAATTATGGTCAAACAGCAGCTTAGACATTCTGCGCAATGGAAGAAACAGTGTAGCAGTAGGTTTAAATGAGACTCGCATGTGTCTTTTACCTTCTCGAAAACTGCCAAAGCTGGAAATAATTATTTTTGATGTTATACTTCATAGTAATCGGTCTCCCTCCCACCTACATTGTACCAAACATTACAATCTAACCTTAGGTCTCAAAGCGAATATTACTATGTAAATCAGTTTGCAGCAGTATAATGTCGACTAAACTCAATGAAGTCACTCTGTGTTGATGAAGAATGATTAGTCTTTGCTGTGCTTGGCATTTAAGTTGTCACATAAGTAGAATATACAACCTATTCACCTGCCAGAATTCTGACACTTTTTTTCAACCCAGTTTCAGAGACAGATGGACTCTGTCTTTAATTGCTTTGATAACAAGTACTGGTGTTCCAACATATGTGTATATATTTCTGCTTATTGAATATCTGTAAGCCATTAATTTTTCTATTATATTTTGCTGCCCCTTTTAATTAAAACAGTTCCCCTTTCCAAACAAAGAAGTAGTTAAATGTGTTAAACAATACATCACTTGTTCAGCAAGTGGTCGTATTTGTTTGTCATTGCTTAGTTATGAGCTGTCAGTTGAGAAATGAAAATGTTTGCAATCATCAGTAATCATTTATAGTCCTGATGTGGGGTTGATGTCATACAGCACATCTGCTCCAGGTTGAAGGTTGAAGCTGGATTGATAACTGCACCCAGAATTCTAAGTAAAAACCTGTTATAAATGGACAAAGATCCCAGTAATTGCAGCACATTGTTCAGACGTCAGCTCTTTGATCGTGATCTTGCCATTAGACAACCAGGATTGGTTGACCAGGATTCTGCCAGTAACAGCCCACACTTGAGTTAAGAGAATTTAAGCTGGCCGAAGTTCTGGCTCTTACTGTGACTGACTCCTGGGACCTTGCAGGCACACAGAAGCTTATAGTTGCATCACTGGGAGATGTGCCACTCCTTTCAGCACAAACTCTCCTTGAAGGAGCTCCGGAGCATGCAGTGTGTCAAATAACAAAAGGCTGTGACAATTGGGGGTATTGGAGAACATTTGCAGTACAGAAGTCCTGGCTTAAAACCGGTTTGTGTTTGTAGTCAGCAGTTTCAAATTGGCAGAGTAAAAATATAAATTGGAGACAAAAATAGATTTGGTAGAGGTCTTAGGACCATATTTATTGAACATTTCCTGCCTTGCTGGGTTTCTATTTATTTTGGTTAGAAAATTCAAAAGTCTTTAGCGAGTCTTTGAAATAGTTTTAATTTGAGTGTAATATTACACAAAAATACTAAACCACTGAAATTTAAAAATGAAAGGATCTCTTTGCAGGTAAATAGAACTAAGAACTGTGCACTGAAACCCCAAAAGTGACAAAACATTCAAGTTTTTCTTTAGACCCACTTGTCAAAGCTTTCTCCATTAAAACCTTTACTAGCAGTATGCATCCCCTTGATGCAACACTATATCCCTACTGTGTGAAAATGGAATGACTTACAGTTGTGTGCAATGATGCCATCTTGTAAAACAAACTCAATGTTTAACAAAGCAGTAGCATAGAATTCTTAACTAAGCATTTAGAATGTAAGGAATTGTTTTGCATTCACATAAAAATAATAGACAGACATTTTGCATTTAAGTTTATAAATGAAGCGAAGTGGCCCCGTATTAACTTGAGACAATTATACAGTATCTTTTGGAGGGGCTCTGGCAGGCAACCAGACTTTTGTAATTCATCTTTGGTTCAGCTGGTTTTGGGCAGCTTCTGTATAGTTAAACTGCAGTTACAAAAATGTTTTGCACCCTGGTTTTTATTAAATACAGAGTATTACAGACCGATCCTTTTTTGTTCAGCAAGCAGTATATCAAAATAAACTAATAGTAGCTTATTCACATTGGGAAAACATTGTTGTAAGCTTGCTGGCATTAAAAAACTGTGTAGCCAGTAATACATGTTGTCTGAAAATGTTTTAAGCACATGATCTTGTGCTCTCAGTCAGTGTCACAGAATAGACGTGGATGGCATTGACAATATGTTGCAGTTCTGAAAGTTTTTCAGGCTAATTCGTGTCTGTACTTTGTTTCTGGTGTAAACCTTTGTTTTAACTGTGCCCTCCCTTGTTTGGTTGAAGCCTGTGGTTATAAGGTGGAGATTATGGTTGCCATTCAATATAAAGTAATAAAAGGTACTACTTTTTATGACAAGGTGGAATGACTGCTTGTTGAGAATAGCTTGTAGGGAATGTTTAGCCTCTGTAGTCTGTGCCAACTGTACATTTGCAGCGCCTTTGTAGTTTTCTAAGCGAGATAACAAATATACCCAGTACAGTAGCTGGTTTCAAAGCTTCATTTGAAATCTGCTATGGTTACTGATAAGAACTCGGAGACGTAATATTGCACCATATGATTTGTGAATGAGAAACGAGGGAGGAAAAATATTTGGTAAGATCTATTTACAACAGTGAAAACCACAAAAGGAAATACTTTGTTCCGTACAGATGAAATAGAACATTTTTAGAAGAAAGAGGGAATGGTGCTTTGGTATTGTAGGCTATTGTATACATGGGATTCTGATTTCATTGGATTTTTATCAATGGAATATGGTGCTAATGATGGAGGTGAAATAGGATTTATTGTTTTTTAGCCATGCAAGTGTACAGATTTAAATGGTTTGTATTTCCTACCTAAGACATTCAAGATTTTGGTTAACTAGAGGTGACTAGAGCCAAAGGTAGATGGAAACAGAGATTAAACCAAAGGTAGGCATTGTTGTGAACTGAAATGGCAGAATGGTTTCAAGGATGTAGAGTACTCACTTCACCTGGAAATGACTTTCATACCTGTGTAAATTGAAGAAAAGGAATTTTCTTTAATTTACTGCTGTTTTTCTCTGGCCGTTTGGTTTGAAATGCCATTTTTAAACCTGCATGAAACAGCTGTGCGTTATCTTAGATGTAGGACATACAGCCAGTTACAATAGATTAAATGACTACATAATTTACCTTATTTCTGTTTTGATAACTAACTGAAAAATACCTACACCTGGGATTGTGATATATGAAAGGGTTAGTGAATTTTCATAATTAGAATATTACAGCGACACAAGAGACTCTGCAGTAAACCTTACAATGTAAGTGTAACAATACTCGGCAGTATTGCCCCGGAACGTATGACACTGCAATTACACTGCTGTACTCTTCTTAGTAAACTATCATTTTAACGGCCTGTATAACGTTTAACACCATTGTTCAATTTAAAATCTTTATATTTTGAATGTGAAGAATTTGCTACCATTTTTCAGAAACATTTTAAAATCAGAAGCATTATTGTGCGAAAGAAAAACAAAAGAAAAACACTTTTTGTATTTATCCAGTTAAATTTGTTTGAGCTTTGGTTATCTCAGTCATTATTTTAAGCTACAGTATGTTGCAACATGTTTGTGACATTCTTTGATTTCCTCACTTCTGGTATTATGTCAGACTGATTCTTTAATTGCTACATAGGAGTTGTCTGGTATCATCAGAAAAACAAATTTGTTTTTCAATACTTCTGTTTATTTTGCTTGAAGGTTTGCCAGCAGCACTTTCAATATCCAGAAGAGAATATTATTTATGTACAGTAGCCTGGTATTTGTTAATGTTTTGTCAAACATTTCTAATATTGACAATTGGTTTAGTAGAACCTATTAAGAAAGTTGTTGGGCAGAAGAAAGTGTTATTTCCTGAACACCTGCCTTTAGAGGACACCAGCATAAAGCCTTAGAACTAGCTACAGAGTAATTTTAGTGAACCACTGCAAAATAATTTCATGGTATTGGGTTTCTGATGCAGCTTCCCTGTGAGGGAATTGTTTCAGGGCTGCGTCCAGAGTGGTTATCTTACAGATCCTAACAGAACAGGACTTCAACTTCATACCTAAAAAAAGTTAGGAAAGAAACTCAATAACATGACAAACAATTTCAAAAATTTAACGACAAAGAGTTCAGTCAACAATGAGGGAGCACAACTTGTTTTCATGTAATACCTCTTCAATTAATGTGTATGTCATCTGCCCTGCCACTTCTAACTCTTTAAACACATCCCTGTAAACCTTGTTAACCATCATTACTGGTAATCTGAAGTTCTGTAATTGTATCATGGAATCATCTCTACACTATGCAGCATGGTTTCTTTGGTCCAGGTTAGGTACCCACCTTACCTACTTTAAGATGGAAAACATTTTCTAGTTGTTCAGTAGAAAGCATCAGACTTGACCAGAGGAAGTGTGAAAATTTCTGCACTTTGTAAAAATCAGCATGCCTTGCTGTAAAAAAGCAAGAGAATCTTTTTAGTGCAAGATCTCTGATCATTCATTACTTTTCCATTAGCCATTTCTTCTTTCTGCCCTTTGCTCTTGATCCTGCAGTGCAGAGCCTCAAGTGTTTCATTTCAAATTGATACAAGGGCAGTATGATGGTTGTTCTGAGGTGTCCAGTGACCAAATACATTTTAAGGCCTTCTTGTGAAATAAGTTTAAAAGTAGTTCTGTATATACTTTATGCTTCTAATTCTAGCTCATGTGTTGCTTTACAAGCAATATAGAAAATGATGACTTTGTTTTTGCTGATTTGCTTGTAGTACACCATTTAGAAACTTTTGTTCAAAAGGTGAGGGGAGGCTGGGTGAGGGAACTTGTAAAATAACTTTTACATTTTTGAAGGATTTATAATATTCTGCAGTGTAATAGAGAACAGCATGAAAACCATATCTGTATCGCCATAAAGCAATCCAGATTTTGTGAATACTCATTTTGACAGTTATGACCTACAATTAAATTTTTTTTACATGTGTTGTTGTATTTCTCTAAAGTAGAATGTTTGGGGGGCTTCCACGAATCATGAAATGTGAAATATAATTTCTTATATTTTTAAACTGGGTTTATAATACAATTTTAAGATGTCTTGCTATTATGGACAAAAGTAATGATGGAGCTCACAAGTAGAAACATTACAAAATCAAACATGGTTCAGTGCATGTTAAGTTAATCCATAATTATAAATGGGCATAGCTGCAGATAGGTGGAATACAGTTTTTATATTTTGATATCAAGCTGTTCACTTCAGGTTTTTGTCATAAGCAATTTTAGTACTGATATAGTATAGCAACTTTCTGAAGTTTGGTTTGGTTTATGATTTTCATCCAACTTTCCTCTCTTGGCTCAGTTGTATAGTGTTGCCAAGGCTAGTGTTCAACCCTTGAACTCTCCTTCCAAATTGAACTAGCTGCTTCTCTTATGGTAAGTTTGCCAGGACTTGAATTGTTGAGTTAAGAATGATGCAGCAGTTCTGCTACATCAGGAAAAAAAAATCGTTTGTATCCCCTTTAATCAGTCTATCTTTGTAAATGCATGTTTCTTAAAAAAATGTATTTTTGGTTTGGAAATTGGTTTGAGGACCTTTAAATAGCTGAGCTGCCCAAAGTACTTGCTTAAGCGCAGGGATGCGGGTGGTGTGGGCCCCAGCGGAGTGATGGCATTAGCTGAGCGTGACTCCAGCAGCAGCATAAATAGCAGGGGAGTGCTGCCTAGGGTAGAACTGGGCTGTATATTATTCCTATGGTAGTTGGACAGGCCTCTCTCGGCTCCAGGTCACATAATGTCCATTCCAGCCTGCCAGGTGGCTGTGTTAAAATGGCCCAAGCTGGACTATTTACACTTACCTTGTATGGCCTGTGGTTTTGGAGGATTTGTAGCTGTGAACCAAGATGAAAAATACAGCTGGCATTTGTACATTGAGTGGGTATATGTATATATATGACAAAAAAAATGGGAATTAAAAAAATTCCAAATTAGAATTTCATTTCTACAGTATTCGTTTTTGGGGGCTTTCCCTGAGGTTGAATATGTTTGACAGCCAATTCAGAAAAATATTATTTCCTTCACATAAACATAAATGCAGTGGTTTGCCATTTAAGGTGTGCAAAAATATACATTTAACTCTAAGGCCTGGTTTATACTTTAGGCTCCCAACTACGTTTTGAATTTCAGGCAGAAGTCTATTTCCTGTCTATCATTTATAAATCCTCATCAGCTTTCCAACACAAGTGTGACCATTTCTCAAAAGTATTTTTTCAACTGCATTTCTAAATTCATTTTATAAGGTGTGTTGATGCAACATTTAGATTAGACCCCAAATGTATGTTTAAATTAAGTAGCTTCTTTATGCAACCCCCTCTTATGTATGTACAAGGTATCATATAGGCATACAGGGTATGGGATATATATATATAGGTGAAGAATCACAGCAAAATAGTGTGTTTTCTGATTTTTTTAATAAGCTTTTCATGAAAGATAAACTGAACGTCAGAGAACACCCACAAAAAACAGAAAACACATCTTTTGTTTTTTTTAAAAAAAGAACAAACAGTTCCAAAACAGCTGGGGTGCCGATTTGTTTGCTGGGGTGTCATAAAGGATGAACACTTCATCTCAAACACTAACTGTTAAAGGCAAGGGCGAAGGGACTGGACGTCTCACCTCCTCCGATCACCCTGGTTTTCCATTTGAAATCAACATTTACACATAATGCATACAACAGTCCAAACAAGGAAAGAAAGAAACATTAGGAATATATAGGTAAGGGATAAAATTACATTTGTACAAAAATAAATTTTTTTAGATGTCTCCTTTCTTGATGTTTTTGTCAAAACTGCTGCGGCAAAGGCAATAATAATTACACACTGGGTTAGACTACATTTATTGCAAAACAACCCAAAAGCAAATGAAAAAAAAACCCTTTCTTTCAGATGTCAAGCACCTGAAAATAGATGCACAGGCTCAAAGCACAAGGTATTTAATACCTAGCTCTCTTCTGCTCCTCCGTGCTGCATGTTTGATGTAGAAGTCAGGATGATGCTTGTTAGGAAAGCCCCCTTTACAGTAAAGAACACAATCAACAAGATAAATTGCTTAAAGCAAACCAGACCAGACAGCATAGATCTGAACAATCAAAGGTATGTGTTGGTCATTACCATGAAATATACCACTACTAAGTGTACGGTTTTCTGAAACTTAAATGGAAATTACTCTTAAAGGTCATATAGCCATCCCACATTTTGAAACCTCATAACATCGGCTGGCATTTTATTAAACTGGAAACTGGTCAGGCAACATATTCTTCTGTTTTGACAAAGCAGGTATCACAGCTCCCCTTTCAATTGCTTATCTGATAAATCCCACTTCTTGGGTAATTTATTAATTAGCCCAGCTATATTTTTTTTTTGTTTACAATTTTGTAAATTGTGGTAAAAAAAAACTCTTCTACAGTTCCCCCCCTCCCCCTTAACATCTTCTAAACTTGTTTTTCCCTCAGTTTAGAGGGAAATGTCAGCTTTTTCCCCATTGTTTTTCAATTCAGCTATTAAACCATCACTTTATACTGCTACAGCTGCTGAGCCACAATCCAGCCAAAAGAGTTTTCTCTACATGCAGCAAAAAACAAATTGAAACAGCTGAGAATTCTAACATACCGATATTTTGGCTTCTTTCTAGAAATGGTAGGATGAAATCTCCAGATTAGTTACTTGCAACCAAACAGGCAAGATGGACCGAAAGACCTCCTCTCATTTGTAACTATTCTAATGTAATTCAGGAATCATATTCTAAAGATGAGGCTACATCTTGTCATCAAGAGTTAACAACACGCTTTGATTTTTTTCTTTCAGTGCATGAGAACAACCTTCTCTCCTAAATCTCTACCTTGTCTTTAACTGTACTAACCAGCATAACGGGCACAATACTTCAGATTTTTTTTCACTTGCTTTATCTACTACATTTTTCTTCACTCCCCCTTCTCGCCCACCCCCAAAAAGCAACCACTAGAAAGGTTTTCAGTAAAATTAAAATCTAAAGAAATTATGCATAATAATTTACTGGGATTCAAAGGCTGGTACAATATTTGCTGGATACTTTTTAGTGCAGATTGGAAAATGCACAACCCAATCTGTAGTGCCTTAAAGCCCTAAATTACTAATGGCTCCAATTTCTAAAGTTAGTGGGGTTCATCTGACCAGGGCGCATTTCCAGATACTTATTTCCCTCCCACTTTGCTAGATAAAACCAATAACAATTAACAAACGATTATATTTATATAAATATACACACATATACATATAGACAAAATATAGCTTTATGGTATATATAAAGCATTTTTTTCAATTATTTGAATGACACTTCTCTGACCTCTGAGCTAGTCTGATTCTCCAGTCAAATCAGATTTTCAAGTCTGTTTCTTACAGGAATTATTCCTTTCATTACAAGTCACAGAGAATTATCAGCATATGGCTTCTTACCTTAGGGGATTTAGTAAAAATCTGTGCTAAAAACATTTTTTCAGTTCCGATATTAATATACTGTATGCAGTTGAAATGATCAATATAGATAATGTGTCTATTAAATATATCAAGGAAGTTAAAAATAAGTCATCCCTAACTACTACTTTGCTGAGAGCAGTAAGTTAATTGTAGGTTCTACTACCGAGAAAAGCCCAGAGAAATATATATTTTTTTAAAAACACCTTCATCAGAAATTCACAAAGGTCTAATCAAATTAATCTAAAAAGACAGGGACTGAAAATATACTGGCATTTGGTTCACTGAAACAGGACCTTGGTTTTGTAAAATGAGGAAAACCTTATTCTTGAACAGTATGTGCATGTGTTTAATGTCATTCTGCCTTTTGAAATGAAAGAAAAAGAAAAATCTCCTAGTCTTAATGCAATAGCCTCACCTGACTTTCAGTTGTGCTTAGTTCTACAGCAAAAGAATAACCAGCCTTTTTACTTATGGGAAAGATAAAAGACGTTTTGTACGTTTTGGGGCCTGTAGGTTTAAAGAATGCCTACTGCTGATTACAGCTTATTGCATAGAAACTGGGCAGAAAAAGCTGTCTTTGCATAGCATGCCCTGGATTGATCAGATCTGAAAAACTGGACAGTCTTTTTCACAGGTAAAACAACAGCACTGTTTCATAGTAACCATGAAATTACCATAAACATGCATTCATTTTTTATTCTTATGGAGGAAATCTGGATCTATATATATTTTTAAAACCTTTTGAAATGTTATTTACTAGCAGATAACAAGAGTTATACCCGTATGAAAATAGTTATACAGTAGTAAATGTCTATGTAATTACTACTATATAATCTTTGTACATTGCAAAATGTGGTGGGATTTATTTGCAGTAGGTGTAAGTGTTGTATATGTAAAAGACATTTGACTACACCTAAGAGAAACCAGTTTCACTCAAATCTGTAGCTCATGATTGTAACATCTCTAACCTCACAATTTAGATGATCTACTGTATCTCCCATTAGCTGGTGAATAATATTTGTTTTGTTTTTAAAAGTACTGCAGATTCGAATGGCTCAAAGTCAGCAGTTTCTGAACACAGCCTAGTCAGGTCAGCATAAGCCAAAGACTAATACCTGAATGCTAACTATGGTCCATTTTTTTAAATTAGTCTGTTCAATCAAATTACAAATGTTTACAATCATTAGAAAACACACACAACTAAGTCTTCCAAGGACTAGTTAGGCAAATTTAGGCTTACAACATCCAAAATCTTTCAAATGTGGTAACTACTGTATATTGTGTTCTTTTCTTAACTGGAGATATATATCCAAAAGTTTGGTGCATATCCTAAATAACTCCAAATATTACTTCGATTTTATATCTTGTAATCTGATCTTTTTTGTCTTTTGAATTCATTCAAGTCTTGAGGAAAGTGCTGTTTCACAGCAAAATTGTTAAATTAACTTGCAGTTCTCCTTCTCTGCCATAAGAGGGCAGGTGCCTAACACACACGTGCCTAACAGGGTGTTCCTCAGAAGTTTGCTGCATTGTAATCTACTTTGGGACTTAATCTTTTAGACATGTAAAGAGTTTCTCTACCTGAATTAGCTGAATGACAATCATGCATTGGCCAATCTTTGGAAACACTAAAATGCATAGTTTTGCAGCAGCAAAAATATATGCCATCAATGAACTGTCCATGGACAGTTATTGAAAAAAAAAACGATGAAAGCAGGCTTGTGCAAAATGCTATTTAACCTGCACTTTGCTGTGACCTATAATTGTTAACATAATGTGCAATGACCTGTAATGTACTAACCTGTGATTTCTAGCTGGAAATCTGATGGTAGTCCTAGCTCTTATATATTTATTAATATGGTTTTATCTTTCAGGAAAGGAGCTCCTGTTGACCATGATGTCAACAAGATTAAATCTGGGCATAGCTCTGCCTCCTATTTAAAGAACGCTATGAATCCTTGTCTGTGCACGGCCAATAAGTTGTTAGTCTAACCCATTAACAAAACCAAGTGCTCCCATTCCAAGCCAGGCAATCTCCATGCCCTGAACATCTGACCACTACGCCAAGTACACTGTCAGATGTAATAAGCTTGAGGACTTAATGTTAAGTGCCACGAGTAAGAACATTTTCTTCTTAAAAGAAGAGGATCTACTGCTTATCTGTTTATCCAGGGGATATAAAAAACTGCATATCTGTAGGTACCCATCTGTAGGCAACTACAAGTAACTGTAGATAACTATCTATAGGTAAGACCTCTGTACACCTTCAATACTGTATATGGCTGCATTTTAATATTAGACAACCCTTTTGACTGATACCACATTGCTGTTTTAGGGATTTGGAAAAAACTGAAGCATCCCAGGGTGATTCAGAATGAAAATCATCATAGGAAATTAACATTCAGAATCTGTAACACATTGACCTTACCACATTGGATGCATAAAACTGCAATTTTAAGAACATTATACTGTAAAACGTAAATGTTCATGTAGAATTCTTAGCAACAAGCAACTTGAATAGCCCACACTAAAAGTGAACAGAACATTTAAGGGAAAAGGCTTCAGTCTATACCTTAAGACATTTGCCTTTTCATTTCACAAAAAAGGACTGTGCTTACATGTCTCCCTTATGAAACAGATTGCCAATTAATGGAAATCAGAATCGACAGGTAACATGACCTGCAGGTCTTTTTTGGTTCCCGGAGATGTGATGACAAAGAGGACAACCGGCTTCCACATTACTTCCAGTAAAAACACAGGATGTCAGCCCCCACCTTGAAAAATGTTTAAAATCCTATGACAAATTCAGAACCACAGCATGTATGTCAATACACGTATGTTTTTTGTATTCTTTTTTATAATCCTTTTTCACCTTAAAAACAGCCTAAAATAGTTCTACATACATCTTCTTTTCCCTCCATTCCTGTCCATCACTTTTTCTCTCTCTTATATAAGATATATATTTGTACAATATATAAAACAGACCCACACGCTTTATGAAACTGACTCCTTTTACACACATAAAGAAATGACCAGGGGGTCCAACTCTTTGTGTTGCAGTCATCAAATAGTCCACATGATTGCGAGATAAAGGCTCCTTCTGCGAGCTTGGGCAAGGTAAGCCAGCCTCTTTGTTAGGTCATTTGGTGTGGTGCTTCCAGCATTTCCATAAGGAAGGTGTCAATGGGCGTGTCTCCTATTAGCTTGAAAAAGAAGAGGTGCTCCAGACATTTTAGGCCGATGGAACGCAGGGCAGGTAATCGCAGTAAAAGCTTGGCAAACCTTGCAAAAATTAAACAAAGGAATAGTTTAACATTATATGTTCACATTCCAGAGTAACATCTCTATGTATGTTAGACTATGACTGTATTTCTTAGTCAAGACTTAAAGGTTACTTGTCCTATGAAGTATAAGACCTAACATTTTAGCCAGTATCTTTACACCTGTAATACTATCCACTTATCTGGTATTAAATAATACTGTAGTGCTATAGGACAATATTATCATATTTTGCAATCTTTTAAGGGTCTTATTTTGATGTAACCCAATAGCATGTTTTAAAAAATTGATCAGAACTGATTAGGAATCACTTTAGGAAGCCAGTTACACAGATAAAGTCCTGTCTGCATTGACACAATGTTGCTGTGTTTCCATCCACAACAAGAATGGTTCTAAGACAACATTGGCAATTGCTTTAGTTGTTCACATATATTATTAATTGCTTGGATTTGAAGAAGCAGATACAATTATACAATTTTTACAGACAGTTACACATTGAAATTCGGTATATACTGACCTTCCAGGCTGTTCTGGGTACTTCTGTTTACAGTAGGCTTCCAGTGAGGCATAAACTTTCTCACGCAAAGCCTCTACTTCACTGGGGTTTGAAAGGCCTTTGGAATCTGTGCAGACAGATGAAATAGCATTCAACATGTTCAATTAAACAGCACTTCAAATAGGCAACATGATATATGCTACTTATTTTAACTGCCTATCTACTGCTTACTAATATTACAATGCAGGTTTTTATCAACATTGTAAAACAAATTTTATTTTGAACAGTATTGTATATACCATATACAAGAGGCGTGATCGATTATACTGTAAAGAATTATTCAATGATAATCAGTTAAAGAATCATTAACCACCTGAGTTTCTGGTTGGATAGACCTGGGACAGACATACAAAAATCATCATCAAAGAAAGCTAATCACTTTCAGTAAACGCAGGATCCCTGTCAGAAGTGCGCCCATTGTGGATTACAAAAGTCAATTATTTCTCGAAAAGGCTCAAACTATTCCATTCTAGGCACTAAAGTACTGCTGACACTGCTAGTATTCATTTCAATTGTAGATGTTCACTGTCAGGCTTGAGGTGGACAAAATATCCAGTAAGGTGCTCATGTGATTTTGCTGTGACACAAGTGGTGTCCAACTGCATACCTCTCAGGCAGCTATCTACACAGTACCTTCATGGTTTTACACGAAAAGGTAGAATAATACTATGGAAATAATGTAATGTTAGTCATGTGTATTTTTCACAGGAAGAAACTGATTATTTTCCCAACACAAGGACTAACAGCTTTCAGAGCAAGATATTTGTTGAAAGAAAGAGAAGTGAGGAATAAACAGATGCAGACTTGTGAAGAACACATTTTCTGAAGTAAATGAGTGATACTAGAGACAAAGTTAAAAATCATATGAAGGTAATTCTCTAGTAAAAATAAATCTCAGAGCATTAGTAATTGTTACACTAAACAGAAAGTTTAGTTTTGCTGGCAGCTTACGTTAGTCATCTCTTTTATGATATCATATTATATAGTCTTTTGCAGATACTTTTCTGACAGGCAGCTTTTCATGTTGTGTTGTCTGAATGTGCTGCTTTTCCAGTGAAATGCTGTAAACAAAAATGCATTGGTCCAGCTACTGTACATAATTATCATGTACCTTAAGCTCAAATGACATTCCTATAGTCAGGACCATTCATTTTCCTGCATGGCATTTCTAATAAAGACAGGGTTAAAACATTTCTTGTTGGATATGCAACAAAAGCCTACAGACTAAGCTACATGAATTAGTATAGGAGTTCTTTAGCAACTAATCATTCTGAAAATTAACTCTGAGTTTGCAAAATCTATTGATATCCAACAAATGTTTACATAGTGAAATCTGTTTATTAGTTATATAAACTACTACTACTACTACTACTACTACTACTACTACTACTACTACTACTACTA